CTAAATCAGATTTACAAGAATAATCTTGATAAGTTCTGTAAGGTTCTGAAACGAACCAAAGAGAAAAGTCTCTCAAAATCTCAGATTCAATAGCCTCCCCAATTAGGGTTACAAGCCCCTTTAAAAAGGGAAAAGTAATTCTAATCAGAATAGGAAAGTAACACTCTAAGCCCTAATCATAATAACCACGAATTAGGCCTTAAATAAATGAATGTTTAGCCCAAAATAATATAAAAAAACGTGAAAATCACTAAAAGTAACCTAAAGTAACATGAAATATCAGTTTGTTACAAATTGCTATAGAATTGCGAGATTGATGCAAACTGTGTAATTTAGCATAAATGACCTCAATTAAGCTTCTCTTGAACCTGAATAATGTTTATCATGCCTTGATAATCATCCAAACTTCGATTTACTTCTTGCATGTAACAATCAACCCAGATCTGCTCAATAAGGCCATTTAAAAGCTTCTCGCATCTTCCTAGCTCTAGCTCTCGTGACTGGACCTCCTGGAATGTGTAATGGATCTCTTAACGTGGTACATGTGGGGTCATCTTGATTCCCATCATTCCCTCTCTCCTCAAAAGGATTTGTCCTCAAATTGTCACCTATATCAAAAGGAGAAAGATCAGAAACATTAAAAGCAGCACTAACATTATACTCACCAGGAAGCTCCAACTTGTATGCGTTGTTGTTTATCCTTGCAATCACTTGAAATGGTCCATCGCCTACTTAGAACGCCTTTGTGCAGGGAATCGCTCCTTCCGCATATCCAAACCCAATCTCCAGGTTCAAACACAACTTTCTTATGCCCTTTGTTGGCTTGATTTGCATATTGCTCAGTTCGTCGCTCTATGTTTTGTCGCACCCTCTCATGTAGTTGCTTAGCCACTTCAGCTTTCTTTTTCCCATCCAAACTAGCTTGTTCATCAATGGGTAATGGCAATAAATCCAAAGGGGTGAGTGGATTTAAACCATACAAAACTTCAAATGGTGAACAGTTAGTTGCTGAATGGACGCTCCAATTATAAGCAAATTCAACATGCGGCAAACATGCTTCCCAATTCTTCAAGATTTGCTCTTAAAAGTACACAGAATTTGCTTTGTTTTCTACTTTATTCTCACTGTATCTGCTGTCATATTGCATCATGATTTTAGTAGACTTTTAATTACTATTTTCCTGCTCTAAAACCCCTTGTTATTGCTTTATTTTGACTGCTGTTTCGCTACTGCATTTTTGCTTGAGTGCTACCCAATTTGGCTTGTTTTTCTACATTGTTTTGCTTCTATTTTTGCCCAAAAATTCTGTTGTTTTTGCCCAAAAATTTTCTATTGTTTAAGGCTTTTTTCAAGCATTTTGGAACTATTTTAAGTAGCAAAAATCCCCACCTTACTACCTAGCTTTTTGTGTTGCTATTTTAGGGTCAATTTGAGCTTGGTTCCTCATATTTTTCCACTTTGTTTTATCTAGTAAATCTGCCTTGTAAACCCACTATCTATAAGGTATTTTGGTACTGTTTTAGGCTTGTTTTAAGTATGATTATGCATAGGAATATATATATATATATTAATGGGGTTTCAATGGTTAGAAGTGATCGGGAGGTGAAGGAAGTTGTTTCTTTGGTTAGAAACTTGATACTAGGATTAGAAACTAATTTAGTTAAATGGGGTGTGTTGTAATCTTGTTCGTTCTTCGATCTGGCTTAGGTTCTAAATCGGTTCTAAATCCCCTTCACCGTCTTAAGACCTTAAGATTTTTGCTTATTGTATACTAACAAGGCGAGATAAATAAAATTATGGTAAATGCTCTTGGATTTTAAGGTAAAGGTTTTTTTTTTTAAAAGTATATTTTGAAACTGTTTTGAGATGGTGATGGGACCTAAACATGATTTTTATTGGCACATAATCATGAAAGGTTTGAGATGAAGTTATTATTTTTATTGAGTTGAGCATGCCTACATGGAGTTTGCTTAACTATTTTGATAACCTGAAATTGGATTGTAAGTTGAGATTTTCCTATTAACTCCTACATATTTGTAAATGATGAATTTTCCTATTGAACTCCTGCATGGTTTTGTCTCTAACATGGTTATGATTACTCACACCCACTAGTGGGAGTGTGTAAACACTAACACATGTCGACATGTATACTTGTAGAATCAGTTCACCTTGTATTCCTGCCAATGGGAGGTTTATAAACACTGGCCATGACCTATAGAGAAGATGTCTATTTCATTCCTGTACTTGTACCCATTTTTCTTGATACTTGATTACCCTTGTTGGCATGATATAACTTTAATTGAGGGCTATCCATATTTTTACTTACTGAGTTATCTCACATAGTTTTTTCTTGTCTACTATTTTAGGAGCTAAAACTAAAGATGTGGGAAAACTGAGGGAAGTGACGAGCTAGAAGGCTAGCCTCTTATATTTGCACTTAGAATATTTTGTAATTAGGTTTGCTTGACGAACTATTTTTAGATATAGATTTTGGGATTTAAATCTTTCTTTTGAAAGCTAGATTTTATTTCGAGATTTGGATTTTAGTTAGTGGGCTATTAGATATGAATTAGGCCTTGTGCATTTGTGGGATCCTTTCACAATTGTATGGCGTTTGTTTCGCTCTCAGTTTTGGGGTGTGACAATTTCTTCTATGAATTTGAGGTTTTCTAAAGGTTTCTACTTCTTTACATCTTAAGCTTGAGCTTTTAAATACTCTACATATTTTCTAGCATACTTATTTACTTATTCCTCATCCCATTCTTCATCCATTCCTTTGTTCTTTCTTTTTCTTCAATGAAGGATTTTTGTCATAATTATCCCCTTGAGATGGTTGACCTTCTTCCTTTTATCATTTTTATATCTTCTATAGGAAAATCTAATTCTTGTAGTTTATTATCCCAATACATAATTTCTTCCACATTTTGTGCCTAATTCTCAAGGATTTCTTCCTTCTTCACACTTTCTCCTATTGGTGTTGAATATTCATGTGGGTTTGGTTCAAGCTTTCCCAGTCAAGCATCCACATTTTTGTGTTTTTTTATCACCTTTACTTGCTTTTATGGTCATATTTTTGACAGTTTCTTCTAAGGGTTCTAATAATTGTTTATTTTCTTTATTTAGATCTAATTTTCCAATTTCAATAAAAACTTCTAATAATTTCTCTATTTTTCTATTTTTGCATTTACGTAATATAATAAATCTACACAGAAATTTAATACTCTTTCAATATCTTGGGTACTATTATAGCTATTATGCTTAAATTCTTTAGACACGAGATCTAATGACAACAATTTTATATTTGTAGTACACTAAAGTGTCATTTTGGAATTCCTATCAAAGTTGTCAATACCGTAACGGCATACGTATCGATTTTGCTACTAGAAGGTACGTACCAGATACTGGAATTTTTTGCATACCATTTTGCATTTATCGTTATAAAAAAATTTTGTGAAAAATTTTGTGAAGAAGTTGAAGAAAAAAAAAACAAAAAAGGACTCAATTGAAAAAATTAAAAAGTTGAGGATGAAATTTACTAAAATAAACTCATAAATCTAGCCCTAATATTGAGCCCATTAACAATTTAATTCAAGTGTCAACCCAATTTCATAAACCAGCCCATCAAAACCCAAATTTAACGATAAAAAGAAAACCCTAGTTT